TAGAATGTTGTTTCTACCCTTTCTGGTAGACAGTTTCAAGCTAGTAAGCATCATGGTATGTGTTAAGTGCCACCAAGTTGATTCTGACCCATAGTGACCCTGTGTAGGGTTTCCAAGGAGCAGCTAGTGAGCTTGAACCACCGACCTTGCAGTCCAAACGACTTTGCAGTCTGATGCATTAGCCCACAGAGCCACACCAGGACTCCTGGGAGGCACTAAAATCATTGCCTGAAAGCTAGCAATCTTCCTCCTGCTTCTCTGATTCCTGATTTGAGGACTCAGGGCAAGGATTATGGGAAATGTGGTTTAAGAAGTGGCCTTGTTGTTGTTGTTAAGTGCCGCTGAGAGGTTCCAACTCAGAGTGACCCTGTATAGGGTTCCCAAGGAGCGGCTGGTGAGTTTGAACCACCAACCTTGTTCAAATCGACCTTGTGGGCCAGTCCTTATCCTACAGTGCCACACCAGGATGCTAAGAAGTGGCCTGTTGTTGTTAAGTGCCATCGAGTTGGTTCTGACTCACAGCCACCCTGTATAGGGATTCCAAGGAGAAGTTGGTGGGTTTGAACTAACTACCTTATGGTTCACAGTCCAGTGCTGAACCTACAATGCCACCAGGAGTCCAGATGTGGCCTGGTGGTCTTTAAAGAGACATCTCTAGCCTCAGGCTTCCACCTTGTTTATGCTATTCCACCTCGGATACCTGACACCAAAAGAAAATTAAAGAAGCTTTGTTGTAACAGTACGCCTGACACAGTCTAAAAGGTGAAAATGGAGCACCAATGGTGAGCCCCCATCAGCATATGAAAGAATCGTTAAGTTCTAAAATTAAGAATTTAATGCACTTTCATCTCCTTGGAAGGTTTGTCTTTTATTCCTTCCTGCCATAGAAAATGAAAATCAATATTCCAAGAGTAGATTTTTTTGTTGAAGTGAGTGATTTAGAATTTGAGATATTTTTGGTTGTATATATAACTAAGCATGCGATAGTATATGTTAGACTATGTATTTTTATGTAAAATTATTGTAGTTGTTGTTCTTATTAGGTGTCATGGAGTCAGTATCGACCCATAGAGACCTTATGCACAGCAGACTGAGACACTGCCCGATCCTGGGCCAACCTCACTACTGTTGCCATGTTTGAGTCCATAGATGCTGCCACTTGGCCAATCCATCTCGCTGGGGGTCTTTCTCTTTTTATCTGACCCTCCACCTTACCAAACATGATGTTCTTCTCCAGTGCCTGGTCCCTTCTGACAACATGTCTGATGTATGAGAGACGAAGTTTGGTCATCCTGGCCTCCAAGGAGCACTCAGGCTACACTTCTTCCAACACAGATCCGTTGGTTCTTTTGGCAGCCCATGGCAGTTTCAATATTCTCCTTCAACACCGTAACTCAAAAGCATCAATTCTTCTATGGCCTTCCTTATTCACTGTAAAACTTTCACATCCATATGAGGTTATTGAAAATACCATGGCTTGGGTCAGGTGCATCTTAGTTCTCAAGCTGACATCTTTGCTCTTTAACACTTTAAAAAGATCTTGTGCAGCAGATTTGCCTAATGCAAAGTGTCATTTGATTTCTTGACTGCTGCTTCCATGAGTGTTGACTGTTGATCTAAGGAGAATGAAGTCCTTGACAACTTCAAACTTTTCTCTGTTGATAAGAATGTTGTTTATTGGTCCAGTGGTGAGGATTTTTCTTTTTTTACATTGATGAAATCCATACCGAAGGCTGTGCTCTTTGATCTTCATCAGTAAATATTTTAAGTCTTCTTCACTTTCAACAAGCAAGGTTGTATCATCTGCATATTGCAGGTTGTTAATGAGTCTTCCTCTAATCCGGAAGCCACGTGTTTCTTCATATAACCCAGCTTCTCAGATTATTTGCTCAGCATACAGGTTGAATGAGTATGGTGAAAGAATACAATCTTGTCGCACACCTTTCTTAATTTTCAACCGTTCCGTGTTCCCATGTTCTGTTCGAATAACTGCCTCTTGGTCCATGTACAGATTCCTCATGAGCACAATTAAGTGTTCCGGAATATTCATACTTCGCAATGTTGTCCATAGCTTGTCACAATCCAAATAATCAAAGGCTTTGTGTAGTCAATAAAACCCAGGTAAACATCTTTCTGATATTCTCTGCTTTCAGCCAAGATCCATCAGACATCAGCAATGATATCCATAGTTCCATGTCCTCGTCTGAATCCGGCTTGAACCTCTGGAAGTTCACTGTCAGTATATGCTTGCAGTCAATTCAGTATTACTTTTAGTAAACTTTACTCGCATGAGATATTAAAGAGGTTGTCCGATGATTT